GTCCAGTTACCCCTATGCGGTCAGTTAACTAATGTGACGGTTAATCGGGGGTCGGATAATCGATGCTTTACTGTAATTTGTTAATATGCTAATCATTTTTAAAATGCTAAAAGTGCATGATTCAAAGGATTTATGGAAATCATTTATACTTTTTGGATTTGCTTATTTTCATGATTGTTACAAGATATTAATTTTATTTGAATTTCTGTCAAAGTAATTTATAAATTTATCTAATTTTTTTTCATATTTTATCGCATCTATTAAATGTATAAAAATTTATCTAAAAAGATTTTAATGTAAATTATTAATAAGGATAATATATATTTTTGTATTTTTTTAGACTAAATCTTCCTGGAAAAGTAATTGAAAATGGAAGAGAATCTGCACGATATGATTGCGATAAAGGTTAGAAAAATAATATATGACGATGCCTTGTACTTCAAATTTTATACATTTCAGGTCATTCAAACTCTGAAGTTTTCAAAGTTTATATCAATTTTCCCCCATTAGAAATATTGCAAAATGAATTAATCTATTTCCAGACTCTAAATTCTCAATACTCATTTTGATAAACATAACAGCAAATACACATAATTTAATGTAAAAATAATAAAATTAAACGTTTTAATAATAAATTAAAACATGAAAACAATAAAATACATAGTGTATAACAAAATAAAAATTAAAAATATTATACATTAGTGAGGAATGGTGATGTCCTGTTTCCTAAGGTCACTTTTCTTAAGGTTGCTTGGCTTTCTCACAAATAAATCATTTATCTACTCTGAATAGCATACAATCTTTTGGAAGTCAACATTGCCACACCTTTAGCTACATTTGTTGCTTTTATTGATTCATTGTTCTTAAGAATAGTGCACACTGTTGACTTCATTATCTTAAATATGGCTACCAGATCTGCCTCTTGTTTACTTTATAATAAGTTCCTTTTTTTATCTCAGTTGTCAATACTATAACCTTTCACTTAGATTTTATTGCTTTTGCATGCTTCTTGCCATGATTAATAGGTTGGGATTATATATATATGTATGTATGTGTATAATATATATATATATATATTTAAACAAGCACATCAAAAATAAATTGAACAGAAATGCTGAAAACACACAAATATAATGCAAGAGATGCTTTCACGGCAAGAGATTTTTTAAGTGCATGTGCAGTTTGAACATGAAGCGTTGTTTGAAACACAAAGTGTCACTTTATTATTATTATGTTGGGTTTAGTGGGTTTTACTCGGTTCACACCGGTGGCTGTGTACTATGCCGGACCAGAGTCAAGGCATAGCAACCAAAACAAAACTAAAATTAAATAAGTGTGTCAGTGTCTGTATTCAGGAATTTCCTAACAATATGGCATGTATTCAATATAGTGGCCTTCTGTAGTGTGATGTATGTATTTCTACTCAATTGTAATGTTCCCAGGCTTTTGTGTAGCGTGTGTGGTATCACACCTGTACAGGAGAGAATGATAGGTACAATAAGCAACCCTATCCATCCTCCACAGATGTCTTATTTCCTGGGCGAGTTCTGTGTACTTGCTAATTTTTTCAGTGCATGTGTTTTGTACATTGTGAGTGTTTGGAATGGCTATGTCTATAATGTATGTGATTTTATTGTGTTTGTCAATGAGTGTGATGTCTGGTCTGTTGTGGTAAATTGTTTTATCTGTGATTATGGCTCTGTCGTAATACATTTTGTGCGCGTTATTTTCCAATACTGTCTGTGGAATATACTTGTAGTATGGTTCGTGGATGTCTGCCAATTTGTGCTTCTTTGCAAGCTCTTGGTGTATTATATTTGCTACTTGATTGTGTCTATGTAAGTAATCTGTCTGTGCCAAGAGCTTGCAACCAGAAGTGATGTGTTGTATAGTTTCTGGCATGATGTGACATTTTCTGCATGTGTCATTTGTGAGTGTTGTATCTTTGAGTATGTGTTTTCTGTAGTTTTTAGTATTTATGACCTGATCCTGTATAGCAATCATGAATCCTTCCGTCTCCCCAAAGAGGCATTCCCAATCTAACCAGCTGTTTGACGCAGTTTTGTCAACTTATTATTATTATTATCATTATTTATTAATATATTGGTATTTGTGATAAAAATATTTTCTGCTTGGATTGATGCATATCCCATATTATAAAAATTGTATTTAAATAAGTTTTTTTTTTAAAAAAAAAAGACCATCCTCAATAATATCAATATGGGAAAATTAATCAAGAAAAGCATAAATAAAGAATGCAAGCATATCTCATTTCTTTGTAATGGAGATATCTTTCAGAAATCTTCAGGCAATGTTAGGAAAAGCAAAAATACGAAAAAATTTCTTCCTGAAGATTTAAATGCATGTCAAAAAAATGTCATTGTTACTAGTGTATTAAATAATTCCTGGTGGTCTTCAAATGTAAGATAGGCTGGTTACATTGTTACTTTTGTTTAAAAGTAACTTGGTTTTATATTTAAAAGCTTCTTACTTGTATTAATTAATTACAAAAACATAATTACTTAGGACTAGTGAACAAGCTTGTTATAAACTTGTTTTTATTTGTCTGGCAATTATATATAGCTTTTTCTAGATAACAAATGAAATTCTTAAAACCTTGATATAATTGTCTTTTAGAACAAACTTGAGCTGGTGATTGGCTAGATCATGACTTACTGGAAAAATGAATTTCTTTTATAAAATAACTGAATAACTGATTCGGGTTGATCTTTTGGGGTTTCTCAACTGATCTATTTTAAGTTATCTAATTTATAGTTGATCTTGAAATTTGCTATTTTTTAAAAGTTATCAATAATAGAGAAATTATTAAATATACAGATTTAATTCCAAAAGAATTGATTGTAAATGTCTTGATGAAATAATAATTTCTTAATTATTCAGATGAAAAATTCAGTTTAATATGAAACAACTGTTGCACCACAAGACTGAATTAGACAATTCCATGGATAAACTTGAAACAGAAGTAACTATGAAATCATTCTGTCCCATCATCAGATCTAAATGTTTAAATAGAATTAATAGACAGTTTTAAAACAGCCAAATGTTTAAATAACTTAGACTGAAGTAATAAAATTTTTGTCTTTTTTGTAATTTCTTTCTCCAGTAAAGCTTTAATTGGGTTTGATAACCTTTGGAGTGAAAAACATTGTTAAAGAAAATGTTTGCAATATATAAAATTTTCTTAATACTTAGTTTTTATATTCTCCAAAAGTTCAAAATTAAAATTAACTTTTAATTTTATGTGAATTTAAAATTTTAACACTATGTGATTATAACAATTGTGATTTTTGTTTTATACTGACTTTCATTAATAACTTTTTTAGGATCATTTGTAATACATATTCCAAAATTGAATCATGGAGAAAATTTTGAAGGATTAAACTTGCTTACAAAATTGCTTGCTCCAACAAAATGCATTTCAGCTGTTCCTTTAATTGAAGTTTTAGGTAAGATACATTTAATAAAATTATTCTTTTTTTTAAGAAACCAAAAGTTTGAAGAAACTAAATGGCAAATGGCTTAAAAAATACTGTCGGCCATTTTAATTTAAATTATTCTTGTTTAGATTTATTAAAGGTTTAATTCTGCTTAATTTTGTATCACTTTATGGCTTTTAACTTCACAGTAAACTTTTATTTTTTAAAATTTATATATATATTTATTCATGGATAATGTTATTTTTTTCATATAAATGTGTGAGATTCTGAATACCCCCCTAATTAATTGGAAATCGATGTAAAACACATAAATGTTAGAAATAATATTTCTGATTTTAAATGAAAAGTTTTAATGTTAAAAACGAAGGGAACTGGTAAATTCACTTCCTTCTCAATGGAAGTTTGACATCCTTTATGTTTTCCCTTATCTTCACAAATTTTGAGTCACATACAGTCCAGTTACCCCTATGTACCCCCACTCTTCCTAAACACGTGGGAATAATACCATTTTTTTATTGGAGAAAAACATCCAAAAAGGGGATTCTTTAGTATTATTCGGGGAATATGCCACGAAATTCCATAGGAGCAGAACGTATTTCATACCAGCTCCTTATGGCCATATGCGAGTCCCGTAGTTCATACAAAGTTTGTTATAAAGTTTCTTCTAAGTTAAAGAAAATGTCTATTGAAGTGCCGCCAAAGAATTAACTAAAGATAACATTCGTATCAATCCGAATTTAAAGGAAGAAGATAAAAGAATATACAGTAATACCTCGACTTACGCTACCCTGACTTACGCGAACCCAGAGTTACGCGATTTTCAAATCTCGTCGATTCGTCTTTTGTTTGAGCGCCACGCAACTCTCAATTACTCACTCCCCCCACACTATTGTTCAGCTTACATGTTTGGACGTGTCGCGTGGAATTGACAAATAGCTACAATTTATTTTGTGTTATTTATTTCTGTGTTTGTTATATCTATGGAGACTTGAGAGACTCTATGTGGTGATTTCTTATAACCATGAACGAATCAAAAGACGAGATAAGGTTAACGAGAACATTTATTAGCTTACATACATCCGATTTGGATTTTTCACAAATTGCGAAATTATACCCCGGCTTGCACAAATTCGACTTACACGGTCATCGCTCAGTCCCACCTATTGCGTAAGTTCGGGGTATTACTGTATTGAGGTAGTATGTTTAACTGAAATTGTGATCTCTCTCTCCGCAAGTTCCATAATTATATTTGGAATTCGATTTGTATATTTTTCTTTTGTTTATTAAATACTCGTTTTTATATTAAAGTAAGGTCTAGAATGTCTGAATCAAAATATTTCATCATCTCCTTAACTATTCTAAACGCGTGTTAATCCGCATATTATAAAACTGATTAAGTGGTGTCAAGGATCCTGATAAGATCGGGGGCTCACTTCCTAGATCTTTGTTTTTAACATATTAGTTAAAGCCCTCCACCCGCGATTTCTTTAAATAGAAAAACCATTCTTTTGGACAAACCAAGGACTGTTCTCAACGAATAGCTGCCGAATAAGTGGTACAAGAGTCTTAACTACTCCGTATCCCCGGCTAGCCCCTCACAAATGCATATAAGATTTTACAACATTTATTTACTTTCAGCTTATATATTTCAGCATTATATATTTCCCTGTTACAGGTTTGTCTAATACATATTTATATATCCATTCAGCTAAACAAGTTTTTAGTAATACAAATAGTATACTATTAATTCATAAACACACATTAGTATACTATTAATTTCAAAATAGGATTTTCAATCTACTACTCTTATATGTTTGTTCAGTAAATTATCAGTTATATCAATTGAATAGTTTGTTGATAACATCAGAATTCTTATAAACAATAACAAATTACATAATCAGTAATAAAATATCTATAATAAAGTAATTATTTGGCAATTTTTGATTTAAAACATACAAGAGAAACCATCTTAGATTCCATGATCTATTAATAACTCAAATATGTAAGTAACATCTCTAAAATTATTTTGCATAAACTGCATGACAAGCACTAGATTTCTGTGTGAATTTAGTTTGTCTGTTTCAGGTGGGCAACCTTTTAAGTGTGCATATCAAAATCACTAAATCTATGATATAAAATTCTCTCATGCACCAACCAAAACTTTTGGAACATATTATTATTTGGTTTAGCAGCTAGACAATCCTATGGGAAAGCTAGATTTAGTAAATTTTCTACTAAATTGGAACCCTGCTCGTAAACCAGTATATCAGAGATACATGTCTCAGAGATAAGATGTTTGTTTCATTTTCTTATTTATTATTATTAAAACAGTTTATAGTGTTTGTTTCTAGCCTGCATTTTTACTTAGTATTAATGTACTCAATAAAATTATAAAAAATGTTAAAAATTGTATTATCATTGAAAAGTTAGTTGTATTAAGTAATATTCAAAAAACTGCAGTAAGTCTTGATATTTGTATGTTATTAGTGATACCAGGCATTGCTCAGGGAAATTTTATATTGCACTCAAAATTTTTATAAAAACAATTAACATTCAAAAATAATTTTGTTTTTATAAAGCAAAATAATATACAATGTTTTTAGTTTTTGGGTAAGACAACTTTTTTGTCAAACATTACTCATCATTCCAATGACAATAATGGCTATTGAACTTAAAAACTTGCTTGAAAACTATATCATTTGAGATATGTATGTAAGCTGATGCTGAAAACCAACATGTAACTTCACTTACAGAATGATTTGCTGACTATTTCAGTCAACAATTGTTCACTCTTGATGATGGAAAACTAACAATTGATTAAAAAAATACTCATTATGTGGTATTATAGAAACTAGATATCAGTTTGGAAACTTAATCTACCAATATAATTAATAATGAAAAATAACTCTTAAACCTCTGGGTAAATTCTGTACTTGCTCACAGTTTGATGATGAGTAGTGCTATAATACTACAGAATGTCACAAATTTTATTGGCCAGATACACAGGCTGCCCTGTTATAGACAGAGAACAAATTTTTTTCCAGACAAAATATATTTGTTGGTTTTCTCCTTGATGAAAAGATGATTTTTGGGTTTGAATTTGCTTGTATCATTTTCAAATGCATAAAATCCAGACAGACATACTTTCTTTTTTGTATATTATACATAGATTATTTTAAGTAATCTAAACATAAATAACAACACAAAAGCTCTATCATTAAAAGTTTATTAATGAGATAGATGGAATTCTACAATTAGTTAATCATTCTGTACTTACTGATATATGTTGATGAAGTAATATTCATAACATCTACAATTGAAGAATAATTCCTTAGTTAAAATTTATATTAAAATTAAAAATTTTTTAACTTTTTTTTTTTAGATAACAACAAAGAATCATCAGAAGCTATTGATGAATTTTCTTGGGAAATAGATCAAGTTCCATTTCAGAATGAAGAAGAAACAGTGATAACAACTATCAAATATGGATTTGCAAATAATTACAGTGCTGTTTTAAATAGGTTAAAGGCAAGTGATAAAAATAATTTTGACTAATAAACATAGAATAGTTTTGTACATTTATAAACAATGCCTTAAGCATGAACCATGAAATCATATACTTTAATTGAAATTGAAACATGAAATCTATACTTTAGAGAAGTCATTATATTTACATAAAATGTTGTATTGTCTATTTCCATGGTTTAATTACCATAAATTAATATTGATATTAGTTCAAAGTACTAAAATTGGAACAAATAACATAAAACCATACTTTTCCAACTTGGGTTTATTTAAGATAGATAAACAAACAAATGTTTTTAGTTTATTCATAAACCTGAAGCAGGTTTATGAATAATGAAGAAAGGGACTGCAATTAACTATAAAGGTTCTATAGTGGTGTCACATGCTTGGAGAGCATTATTTGAAATTTTAGAGTTTTATTTATCACCATTTTTCCATATTTATGTTTTTACTCACAATATTTTTATATATCACTGTATTTATTTAATTATTTTATTTTGTATTTAATATTTTTCTTGTTAATTATTTATTCCTATTTTCTATGTTTTATTTAATATGTTTATGCTCTTGACTTGCTATGTAAATTTATGATTTTTAGGTAGGTATTCATGATGGACAACCCCCTTTGTATCGAAAAGAACAGTCAACATCACCTTAAATTTAAACGAACTTGTTGAGCTTTTTTGGGATAGGGGATGCTTCACTCACCCATTGTAAAGATTGCACTTTTGTTTCGATGTCATATCCATAAACCCATGACTCATCACCTGTTATGATCCTGGATAAGAAGGTTTCATCCTCTTCAGCTCGATCAAACAGTTCTTGACAGACTTGAACTTGATGTTGTTTCTGATCTGCTGTCATCAGGCAAGGCACAAATTTGGCAGCAACTCAATGCCTTTACAATTTTTCATGCAGGATTTCATAGCATGAACCAATTGAGATGCCACACTCTTCTGCAAGTTTCCTAACAGTCAAATGTCAATTTGCATAAACGAGATTGTTCACTTTCTTGATTTGGGGTCATCAGTTTACATTGATGGTCGTCTGGAATGCTCATAGTCTTACTCTGATTACCATCCCTTTTTGAACTGGGTAAATCGCTCATAACACACGGTACGTTTTATAGCATCCACACCATAAGCCTTGGTAATCAACTCAAAAGTTTGCATGAAGGAGTTTCACACAGAATTTCACAGAACAATGCTGCTCATTTCAACGGATCTGATTTTTCACCAGACCCCATGAACACCACTTCACATAAACAGCCATAAACTAATCACCAAAACAAGATATCAACAAACGGGTTGAAACATGTTATTTGGAAGATTTCCAAGGACGCAACATTTCCAAGCAGATTAAAAAATAGCCAACTGGAGACGTGCTATTAAAAAAGTTCAGGAACTTTTTGAACAGCCCATGTATAAGCAAGTAAAAGCTCTTTAAGACTTTGTGGCAAGATAGCCAATGAACCTCTGTCTAGTAAGGAAGTCCTTCAAATTCAGATCTAAATCCTTAAGAAATGTTGCAAATTGATGGTAATTAAGTCTTCTGGATTGAATGAAATTTAGTTTTAGTCACATTCTCAAGCACTTTGTCCATTTTCAATACTTTAGAACACAGAACTTGTTGATGAATAATACAGTAGACCCCCCTATAACGTGGTAGATATGTTTCACTTTAAAAGAATTTCACGTTGTAGGAATCCTTAAATACATGAGCCAATCGCAGCCCGAACGTGTGAAGTTTACGGACTACGGCTGTTTGAAAGGTTTTCTTCCATAAAATTAATTGATTCTAGACTAATTTGACTCAACATTTCCAAAACACGTATAATTTTTTGGGAATAATCCATATAAACTATGCTATAAACAAAAAATTGTAGGATTACTTACCGAGTGTGCACCATTCAATGTCGGCATTGCTTAAGCTTGTTTTCATCGCAGAGCAGCGCACCAAATGGCGGCCACGATTTCTGATAAGTTATTTTTCTGTGAAAACTTCATTGAACTTTGGAGACATCATTAATATAAATAATTTTTATGGTCGTTGAATAAGAAATGTTTCTTTCACAAGAAATGTATAAAATTACAGTGCTGTATTAGACTTACGGTACCTAATTTACATACTGTACAGACGATAGTAAACTTAACTTACTCGCCTAAACTCTGTAGCGTGTAAGTAGTTCGGCTGCTCGTCTACTATTGGTCCAGATTCGACCAATCCTGTCGCGACACGAGTCGGTGACGACATTTTATGAGTCCCTTTTAGCGTCTTTATATGAATACTGTCGCAATTTTTTCGCCACGTTATAGGAATCTCAGTTATAGGAACCCGCGTTATAGGGGGGTCTACTGCACAGTGAAATGACTTCAGTTTTATTTAATCCAGGTAGTTATCTTTCAATTTTGCTGCCATTCTTGCTACAAGTTCTTTATCTTTACCTATCATTGCATTGACACTGTCATTTGTCACAATGACACATCAATAAACCTCTCCAAAGTAGGGCTGCAGAGTCAGTAAAAAAACACTTGACTCCAACTCTGACTCCTGATAATTTTAGTAGGCCAACTCTGACTCTAACTCCCAACTCTGGCAAAATTAAAAACCAAGTCATTTTATGGGGGGGGCAGAGGCACTCATAGGGGGGGTACCCTACTTTGAACTCTGAAAGTAGCCCCGGGCATTTACCCTAATACTTTTATAGTTAGTATTTTTAATATTTAACTTACATTAATATTTATTTGTACAAAAAAATTAATTTTTAACAAATATTTAATAAGAGGAGAAAGGAGGGGTGATAAAATTTTTATTCTACAACATTTGCACTTCAATTTCACCTTTTCAGAAAAGTTAGTCCAACTAAAAAGTGTGTGATCTAGTTACTTCAGTCGCTTGTTCAGAAAAGAAAAATATATACTCTGATCAATTAGTCTCACTCATTTAGAAAAATAGAGTACTCATTTACAGCAGGGATAATAAAGAATGATTCAAAAATATTCAAATTCAATTAAGTCAAAATGATTTAACTACTAAACACAAATACTACAAAGAAAACTACATATTTAATAAATTAAATTGTTGCATTTTGTATTTAAAATAAATTTTCTTTCATTTAAATAAAAAACTAGATTAAATTTGAAATGTGATTGCAATTGAAAAACACAGAACTGTTGCAGATACTCTCAAAGTTAATCCTCAGGTATTCTGTCATCTCACGTATTCTGTCTGAAACTGTATTTTTTAATAAAGATTTATCATGAAACAATTGCACTTTTTCAGAAGAGAGAAATTTAACAGACTCTATTTTAAATTCTTTGTCTAATGAACCTTCTCTATATGGTTTTGAATGTTTTGCTAGTAAATAGTTATATAATTTCAAATTATCTCATTATTAATTCATTGCTTTTCATACATTTTGTATATGCTTGTTGCTGATTTTGAAGTGAGTTCTTCAAAGTTTTCAATTTTTTTTTCTCTTAATTTACCTTTGAAGCATGGTCTTTGTTCTTTGTATTATAGTGTCATTTAATGTTATATTCTTTAGCCACACTAATTGTTTCATTGATAAGATAAATTTTATTTTTTATCTCTATGTAGAAGTAATTCAATTCCCATCTTTCTTGAAATTTTCTCCTTCTTTTCATCAATTTTTCCCTTTGTGACATCTTTTTCATAAAAGTAATATTTACTATAGAATTTTTATAAATTTAAATAATTGTTTAATAATTAAAAAATTGTTAATTGTTTAGTAATTAAACTAATTATTTACATTTTTGCTAACATTTTTCTATATCAAACAAAAAATGAAAACAACTTGTAATTAGCATACAGGTACTGAAAATGTGAACGTAACAGTGGCACTGACAAAATGAATGGTTTGAATGCTTTGCTTATTTTAATATTACTTGGAATCATAGTATTTATGTTCGCTGTTGTATGTTTATTTTCTGTGTAATCATATTATTATTTCAACCATAGTCTGTTACAATCGGTCACGACAAATAACATAGGGGCAGGTTGGCAAATAGAATCTGTGACTAACAGCTACTGATGGATAGTCCGGCTTGTGCAGTATTGATAATATTTTCACTACATACAAAGTAAATCTTTCAAATAAATTTTTTTTACTAAGTCTTATAGTATAAAACTTAAAAAATTTATTTTAGTATAAGTTGTTGTGGGCTGCCAGTTTAATACCTGTGCTCTAGAACATACAGTAGCCATAATTTATATTATTATATGTACATGAAAACAACAAAAATTTCAATGTTTGGGTTTGGATTGGATATTTAATTGATTTAGTTATATATTGAAAAATATAAATTTAATCTTTTATGAAATTATTTATTAAAGAAATGAAATTTGTTTATATTATTATTTATTAAATGTAGGAAGAAATTCCAGACTGTGTTGATCTTTCTGATCCTGATGACAAACCTCCTTATGTGAGAAAAAAAGAAAAATTTGAAGCTGAATTGAAACACTTTAATGAAGACCATTATTTGTTAGTATAATTAAATTATAATTATTATATATTACTTGAGCTTTTAAATTTGTTCTTATGTAGTATGATTTTTTAGAGCAACTAATTTTATAAAAGAAAAATCTTTCACATAGATTGCTGCACATCTTGGTAATTATTTTATCCAAATATGAACCATCAATATTCATTTAAATAAACTTTTAAAAGCTATATATGATATTATGAGGTTTAATAAAATTAAATAAGACAAATTTATTCTGAAAGACTACATAAAAATATCTATATCATAATAAAAACTAATTTGAATTATATTTTTAATAATGAAAACATTCACTTAAATGTCTGTATGTTGAATTCCTAGCAATAACAAAAAACTGAAGATAGCTCAATCATTTCTAAATTTTTGTATTAACTGTTGTTTCTGTTATTTAATTGTTGTTAAAGATTTAATAACAATTTAAAAAGCCAATTAGTCCTTGTAAGTACTAATTTGCTTTTAAGCTATTTATTGTTAATATGTATGATAAAAAAATAATTTGAGAACTAAAAATTTTATTAATAATTAATGTAGTGAGATTTAATTCTCTAGAATTAATTTATGCCAATTTAAAAAAATTATTTTTATTATAAAATCCATATGAAATTTTATAATAAAAATAATTTTTTTAATTGGCATAAAATAACTATTATGCTTTTAAGAGTTTTAAAATTATTTCTTATAAGATAGTAAAAGAAAATTGTTTATAGTATCATCATTTTACTTTAATTAATCACTTTTGAGACTTGCTTATACTGATAACATCTAGATAAATAAATAAGATTACAATTATTGAAAAGTGTAGTTTAAAACTATAAAAATATATATAAATAAGCTGTTAATTATTTCTGTTTTTAATTTTTCATTTTAAATTTTGAATTTATCATTAAAAGGACATTGTAAAACAATTAAAAATTGTTTAACTTGAAGATTTATTATAGTTTTTTCCATGATTAATATGTAATTCATCCAGTATTATTTACTTGCTATTATTTTCAACAATAGCTAACATATAATTAATTGGAGCCACGTATTAAGGCTGATAACATTAGCATGATTTTGATTAGGCTAAAATAAGTGAAGTGTTAAAAGTGTATTTTAACTGTCATGTTTTCAGTCTGTTAATTTTTATAACATTAAATGGCCTACAGCAATTTTCATGATTATAATAAGCAGAGCTTTATCATCATATACAGTAATATGATAATAAAGTAAAAATATATTTTATTATTTTTAACTTATGAAGAATGCAATATTTATTTGAACAAACAATATGAATTATATAGTTTTGGCTTTTATTAAGAGATTAAACAATTTTGTATAAATATATTGTCTTATATAATTAATTTAATTAAATGTATTAATGAATATAGCAAACTTTGAGTTGTGATTCTATTATTATTATGGAGTGTAGATTAGAGGTATTTAATGTAATAACAATTTAATTACAGAGCTGATCTGTATGAAGATGAAGCAATAAAAGAACTTATAAAATTTGAAACAAAATGGGAGAAAGATTATAAACGATATTCATCTCATTCAGTTAAAGAATTTACAGGTAGAAATTAATGTTTTTCCCTCATAAGATTTTATAAATTTTCAAATTAAAAAAAAAAAATAATAAGTTATTAGAATTTATCATGCTGAAAATTATCATGTTTTACAATCTATTCTAGATATATTACACCTGAATGTTTTAGAAAAAATTTTTTGGTTTATGATGTTCTGGACCTGTATTTTGTGAAAGTACAGCAAATACTAATAATAGAAATCAATATTTAAAGACACAATGAATTAAAAAGAATAATAAAATTTATAAGTACAGTAGAGCANTCCAGACTGTGTTGATCTTTCTGATCCTGATGACAAACCTCCTTATGTGAGAAAAAAAGAAAAATTTGAAGCTGAATTGAAACACTTTAATGAAGACCATTATTTGTTAGTATAATTAAATTATAATTATTATATATTACTTGAGCTTTTAAATTTGTTCTTATGTAGTATGATTTTTTAGAGCAACTAATTTTATAAAAGAAAAATCTTTCACATAGATTGCTGCACATCTTGGTAATTATTTTATCCAAATATGAACCATCAATATTCATTTAAATAAACTTTTAAAAGCTATATATGATATTATGAGGTTTAATAAAATTAAATAAGACAAATTTATTCTGAAAGACTACATAAAAATATCTATATCATAATAAAAACTAATTTGAATTATATTTTTAATAATGAAAACATTCACTTAAATGTCTGTATGTTGAATTCCTAGCAATAACAAAAAACTGAAGATAGCTCAATCATTTCTAAATTTTTGTATTAACTGTTGTTTCTGTTATTTAATTGTTGTTAAAGATTTAATAACAATTTAAAAAGCCAATTAGTCCTTGTAAGTACTAATTTGCTTTTAAGCTATTTATTGTTAATATGTATGATAAAAAAATAATTTTTAATGATACAATATGGTTGCACCCGTGCTTCCAGCTAAAACACACACACCAACAAAAATAATATTGGAGTAGTCCTAGACATAACCAAATATTGCACCAAAAACACTACATAACAAAATAATAATGTTGCATCAAAAAAACTAAATTAAAATTTTGAAGGATCTAACCTACATTGGCTAACTCTAGTACCTCACATCTTATTCACATGGCCATCGCCACTCTTGGATATGAAACTTCCAAAGACTTGTAAGTTAAGCACTAAATTTTCAGAGGCCCACTTTTTGGAAATGCTTAAAAAGTGGGTCCTATTATACAAGGAGTCATTTATGTTTAAGGCTACCAACATGCTCACCATATTTTGTTTGAATTGGAAACCTGAATGTCTGGCCCTCTCCTTGTAAGTGACAGTTTAACATGTTACATTTGCTTTCCANTAAATAAGCTGTTAATTATTTCTGTTTTTAATTTTTCATTTTAAATTTTGAATTTATCATTAAAAGGACATTGTAAAACAATTAAAAATTGTTTAACTTGAAGATTTATTATAGTTTTTTCCATGATTAATATGTAATTCATCCAGTATTATTTACTTGCTATTATTTTCAACAATAGCTAACATATAATTAATTGGAGCCACGTATTAAGGCTGATAACATTAGCATGATTTTGATTAGGCTAAAATAAGTGAAGTGTTAAAAGTGTATTTTAACTGTCATGTTTTCAGTCTGTTAATTTTTATAACATTAAATGGCCTACAGCAATTTTCATGATTATAATAAGCAGAGCTTTATCATCATATACAGTAATATGATAATAAAGTAAAAATATATTTTATTATTTTTAACTTATGAAGAATGCAATATTTATTTGAACAAACAATATGAATTATATAGTTTTGGCTTTTATTAAGAGATTAAACAATTTTGTATAAATATATTGTCTTATATAATTAATTTAATTAAATGTATTAATGAATATAGCAAACTTTGAGTTGTGATTCTATTATTATTATGGAGTGTAGATTAGAGGTATTTAATGTAATAACAATTTAATTACAGAGCTGATCTGTATGAAGATGAAGCAATAAAAGAACTTATAAAATTTGAAACAAAATGGGAGAAAGATTATAAACGATATTCATCTCATTCAGTTAAAGAATTTACAGGTAGAAATTAATGTTTTTCCCTCATAAGATTTTATAAATTTTCAAATTAAAAAAAAAAAATAATAAGTTATTAGAATTTATCATGCTGAAAATTATCATGTTTTACAATCTATTCTAGATATATTACACCTGAATGTTTTAGAAAAAATTTTTTGGTTTATGATGTTCTGGACCTGTATTTTGTGAAAGTACAGCAAATACTAATAATAGAAATCAATATTTAAAGACACAATGAATTAAAAAGAATAATAAAATTTATAAGTACAGTAGAGCATCAATTATCCGACCCTTGATTAACCGTCACATCGGTTAACCGACCGTTCTAGTCAGCAAATTTCAAATGTCTGCTAGTGATGTTGCATTACAATATTTAGCTATATCTTGGCTACTTTAATATTATTTTTGTTAAATATTTGTGTGTTTTAGCTGGCATCAACGGCTTGACCATTGAAGGGAGGCCAATATTGAAACGAGACTTAATTTTCTAATTATGAGTGGTTATTTGTTTTGTGAGCAATAAAATAATTTAAAAATAATTTTTAACAATACAATAGCGACAATTATTATTTCAAAAAAAAAAAAAAATTTGTTAGGCTAAACATCGATGAAAATTCAATGCGAAGTTGGTTAATAGCAATATACTAATAAACTAATTACATGGGATATACTAATATCCTAATATACTATACTAATAATGTATTTTTTTCCTTTTTGGTTATCCAATTTTTCAGTTATCCGACCAACCTGAGTCCCCAATTGAGTCGGATAATCGATGCTCTACTGTACTTAGGTTTTTATAACAAGTTTTTACCAAGTTACTAGAACATGAAAATGGATTTCAAATGAAAATATTTAAAAATAAAAATTTTATTTTCATTTATTATATTCCATTTGAAGATTTTACCAGTAAATTGTTGTTAATTATTATGCATCTTATTTATCAAGTTATCAAGATATATAGTTTTTTAATAATTATCTACTATCACAGATAGTAAAAAATGGTTGAAAGAAATTTGAAGCACCTGATCTATATAGAATTGTAAATAAAAGAACACAAATTTACAAAAAAAAACAATGTAAAAAGTTTAAACAATGCAATTTTATCTGATAATTTCCATATTTAAATTATACAGTTTGCTTACAAACCAATAAATAATTAGAACTGTAGAAAATAAATATGTATTTAAAACTTAAAAAAAAATTTTAAATACATATTTATTTTCTATGGTTCTAATATTAAGTTATGGTTTGTCTTAATATATGAATATTATTGGAAAATTGTTTTCTATAGTTTTAATTTATTATATCTATTGAAGATTTTAAAAGCAAATGTGTATTTTTTTTTTTTTTTTAATTTTAGTAGATAAACTACATATTTCAATAATTTTGTTATTTAATTTTTAGAAGCAGAAAAAGAAAAAATGCTGAAATTACCAAATAAAGAATATATCCTTTATTATATATATTTTAAAATTTATCATATAAGTATTTTATATTTAAGCCTTAACAATTGTGTACATTTATTAGATGAAGAAACAAGACATGCTCTTTATCTTGGTTTAGTAGATATTTTGTTAGCATTTGCATATAACGGAAGAACTACAGCGGGAGAAAATACTGTGAGTCATTGATAATTCATGATTTTTAATTGTAGAAAAAATTTATTATAAATTGAATGATTAATTTAATTAGTAAAGATAAACATTAAATCTATTGAATTTGCTATTTGTATTTCAAATAAAAATTTATTTTACAGGTGGAATCAGCATGGACAATCTGCAAATTGAGTGGGACATTATCATGGCTTGTAGTAAGTGTTTTCTAATTATTGAAATTCTAGCAGACTATTACTTGTATGCCTGTTTGAAAATGCATATTTGGGTTTATTAAATACAATAAATTTTGCAATAAAATATAATATGAATCTAATTTATGAATACTTGACATACAAGAATTCAATTCAAGGAGTACCAGTTGATATTTATGAGGAAAATATTCTAATCACAAGTGCAACAAGATTGAAATTCCTGCACATACTGATTAGATGGCTTGTGCGTTCTAGTCTTGTTTCTCCTTCATTCACTTATTAGTGCTATTTGTTCTAATATGGCTTCTATCTTATAAATTCTCCTATTAGTGATTTACAATTTTATTTTATGTTGTTTTACTAGTTTACTGCATACATATTATCTTAAGTAACTATTGTTTTCTTACCATTAGATAAAGAAGTGTCCAGTAAATTATGTACAGTACATTAAGTTCACACTTAATATTGTTAATAGGTTCTTGTTAATTGTAACATAAAGCAAAATGATATACTGTACACTGTCTGTCCAGAAAGTTCCAGTACTATTGTTCTAAAAAATTCAAAAGCAAATGGAAAGATTTTTAATCTTTACAATGTTTCACATAGTCATCTCCCCATCTCAATTCATGATTGACAACAATCATACAAGCACTGAAAGCTGCTTGAAAATTTACTTTTGTAATCCTCTTTAATTCTCATTTCACGTTGTCTAAAATGTCTTCTAAATCATTTGTATTGTTTACCCTTCAACTGCATCTTGAGCTATAGAAAGAGGAAAAAGTCACAGAGTACATGGTCTGGCAAATACAGTGTGTTAACAAGCACAGGGACTTGTTTTTGAGCTATTTTTGCTGTACAGTTCTAGGTGAATGGATTGTGCATTGTTGTGAAGCAGAAAAAAATAATTCTGTTTTTTGTCTTTCTGGGCAAACATACCAAATCCTTTTACAAAGACACTCCAACATGCTCAGGTCACAGAGGTCACAGTGATGCCTGCTAGGAAGAATTCTTTATGGACAAGACCATCAATTTGATGAGCATAATCTTGCATTATCTTCAAGTGATTGCCTCCCTTCTTGAAATTGTTTTTACCATTTAGACATCTTTGAACAAGATAAACAATTGTCTTCATACACAGTTTTCAAGGCATTGTAAATTTCTGTAGCTGTTTTATCAAATTTATGATTAAATTTTATTACTTTTCTTTGCTGCTCCATTGCTCCATCACAAATTTTTCAACAAACAAAAAAATTTTACCTTTAAAAGTACATTACAGAAAAAAGACTGACAATAGCATTCTGAATAAATCATGTGTAAACATGAAAGTTTTAATTAAAAGATTACATAGTAATCAGGTACATGGCACCACTTGTCTCTCTGATAAAAAATAATCAGTCCCGGAACTTTCCAGACAGTGTATAATGAAACCAATTTTCCCATAGGCTGAATTGTATATAAACAGGCTACAATTTCGTTAACATTCTTATTATGTCATGCTTTAAGGCTCTAGCATTTCCTATCTCATAGAATCAATTTTACTGTTTATAAAGAAAACCCATCAATGATAATTGTAAATTAATACAAATCTACTTGTTATAATGTCATTGAGGAAAGATCCAAAACAATGTTAAATAAATAACATATGTGAATTTGTTGTATTTATTTATTAGGTCTTAATCATTTTTTTTTTTTTGTGGCTGTATGGCAGAAGAAGTTAAGATGTTAGCCTACCTCTTTGGGGGACCCAGGTGGTAGGCTTGAATATGGACAATAAAAAAACCCTAGGAATATTTCTTGGGCAGTCTGTCCTCATGAAATATTTTAGGGTTTTTTGACTGCCCTCATTCTTTTTATTTATGACTGGATCCCATCTCTCACTATCTGGCTGCTCCCATTGTGAACTTGGCCAGAAAGGGCAGTATCCACAGGACAGAGAGTTAAAAAATAGAAACAAATCACTTTTCTCATTTCACAATCCCTTTTATGTATAAACAGAGTATTCAAAAATATGTTCAAAACTTTAAAGGATGGAAGATATGGTTGAATTGGAACAACAAAGATGGTATGAGACTCCCATTGAAACCTCTGAGGACCTTGTTGCCAGAATTAGTATTACTGCTGCAGCTGTGTGCGAGATGCCCAGTATCCTCCAAAATGTATGTGATTCATTGTCAACACTGAAGCATTCATTATGGTTGGTGGTTGCTCCTTTCAGCAATTTTTGTAATTATCCATTATTAAAGATTTTTTTCCATGTTCTGTGTCATGAGTCATTACTTTGTTTATGCCCTAGCACTTTACATTTGACCATACATTCTATAATGGGAAATGTTTGTTTTTGTGTTCTTCCACCCCATAAAGTTTTGCCCATCTTTTTTGAAACATCTTGTATATATGTATGTATATATTTTTAACCACTCTTTCCACATTCTGGACACCAAGCGGATCTTTTATTAGGCTCATTATGGGTTTGGCCAGACCCACAATGATGTCTGGGTGGTGAGGGACTTGACTGGCCTGACATATTTGGGATATACCACCCCTGTAAAATTTCTAAGGTTTTATTGACCCAACCAGATTTATTTCTGGATCCTTCAAAGCAATAGGCTGACAATTTAACCACTCAACCATCTGACAATCTGACTATATTGTAAATAATCAACATTATTTACAATATAATGTTGATTATATTGTAAATAATGTAATCAACATTTTCATTTATTTTATTTCATTTGAAATCATTGGCTGATGATAGGTGAACAGGCATTTTATAGAACTTCACTGATATTTGGGATGTATAGATAATTCAGAACATATACAAATTTTAATCATAAGAAATAATAGAAAAGCTAATCCCAATTTACAAGATTTTGATTCACTAAAAGTTTTCAGGATCCGTTATGAGCATATCTTGATTCTAATAATAACTTTTGATATATTATCAATATATCAAAAGTTATATTGATAAACTTTTCCAGTCTAAATTCTATTATTTTCTGATAATATAATGAAAATATTACATAAACTTTTAGATTTAACTTTAATTTATAAAAGAAATTATAGGTTTTAAAGTGATTAAAGTGATAAGATTAAAAGTATATTATATTAAAACATGATCTTTTGGTTTTTAATACAAAAACTACATTTATTATTGAGAAGATATTAAATTCAGAAAAATAATTATCATGAAAACCAAATCAATAAGTTAGATTAATGTTTCTTAGATTAATTCTTATGATATAAACTTTTATAATAGATTATAAATTTTAAAACAAATTAAATTTTTTTCTTTTTTAGACTTTCCATTCTTTGAATGAAGTGGCAATAAATTTTATACGTCGAAGTCTCTGTTATCCTTTATACAGACACTGGGGACTATCATTAAAAGTGATAAAAGATGCTAGTAAAATATTATATTTAGGTAAGTTAATTTGTTTTCATTATAATTGAGAATATTTTTCCTATTTAATTGTTATACAGATTGATTATCCAAAGCAATTCAGGACTGGGGTTGTTCAGATAACTGATCATATATGAAAAAATATATTAACCTATTCCTGTTAAAATTTTTTCCGTTGCGTGTCACTTTGCGTTTGATTTTCGTTGATGTTAAGCTTAACAAAAATTTTTAAAATAGTAATCATGGCTATTGTATCATTAAAAATTATTTCTTTATTTTTCACAAAACAAACAAAATAAATATATTGAAAAATATAAAAACAAAACAGTTATATTTTGGAAGTTAATCTAGTATCAAAAATGTTGCAATTCAACACAACACACATCCCAACAGACAGTCCTCAGAAAAACATCACACAAAACAAGCAAAGCTCCTTTTTTTTTTTTTTTTTATCTGGAGATGTTAGCTGCTTGGGCTTTATTCTCCAATGAGCTGAAGCAAAACACACCAGTCACAATGCAAGGTCCTAGAATATAGCACACGATGGGGGAAAAAAAGCCTCGTTCAAATACTGGCGCGTCCTTAAGTACCCTCTCAATGTGTATAAATCAGAACGTTTTTGATACTAGATTAACTTCCGAAATAAAATTGTTTTTGTTTTTATACTTTTCAATATGTTTATTTTGTTTGTGCAGAATAAAAAGAATTTTTAATGATACAATATGGTTGCACCCGTGCTTCCAGCTAAAACACACACACCAACAAAAATAATATTGGAGTAGTCCTAGACATAACCAAATATTGCACCAAAAACACTACATAACAAAATAATAATGTTGCATCAAAAAAACTAAATTAAAATTTTGAAGGATCTAACCTACATTGGCTAACTCTAGTACCTCACATCTTATTCACATGGCCATCGCCACTCTTGGATATGAAACTTCCAAAGACTTGTAAGTTAAGCACTAAATTTTCAGAGGCCCACTTTTTGGAAATGCTTAAAAAGTGGGTCCTATTATACAAGGAGTCATTTATGTTTAAGGCTACCAACATGCTCACCATATTTTGTTTGAATTGGAAACCTGAATGTCTGGCCCTCTCCTTGTAAGTGACAGTTTAACATGTTACATTTGCTTTCCAGACACAAACTGATAAGGCTACCGGCACCTGCATTAATTAGTAAGTAAAACTGATGCCGATAAATAATTTGAAGTGGTGAAAAAATTTTAAACCTGGTGAAATAGTGGTGATATTTTTTAATTTTCCAGAGCAACCTCTGCATCTGTACATGTTAATTTCAGACTGAGGCAAGGATGGCCATTTATAGGCTCAGATGTACTGATCAGCTTATTACTAGGCCCAGTATTGTTGGACATTTGGCTTTACTGAAGAACGATTAAAGAAGATATCTTTTTGATGGTTTCCAACAAAATGTTGTCTCAGTTTTTGTTCAACAGGCATTATTTAGTCTCTCATTTTGATTAGCATAAGGGTAAGATGACCTTTCATTCATAGTATATTATCCTGTTTGTAGATGAATCTAAAACTGATAATGGCTTGGATGCTGGCATTTGTAGATTTGTAGTTTGAGAATGGTATATTAGAACCTTTTTGTCCTGCTGGGTAGCTTCCCACTGTGTTCCAAGCAGAGATACTAGCTATTATTTGGTGTATTTGCATTATTTCACATACTTAGTATCTTTTTAATAAAACTATCTATATTGCCTTAAAGGCATTTGATTCCTGTCAGATTACTTTAGTACTTGCTTGGGATTACTGTTTGCACCTCAATGAGCTGGCTATCCATAATAGTCTTTCAATCTTGCAGCAAATAATATGTATTTGAATTAAATATAAAACATTCCATTTTGTATTTAATTCAAATACATATTATTTGCTGGAAGATTGTATGTGTGGTATGTAGTGTTTAATTTATCTACATTCCAGCTGTTACAGACTTTTATTTTATAATAATCTTTCCTTTATGGGTGCCAGAACATGAGGATATCACTGGCAATATAAATGCAGGGAGCTCTATATTCCATTGTGGAACCTAAACCAACACTTGGTTATTTCCTGTAATACTTTATCTAGAGCTGTCAAAGATTGGTCTACCTCTAATCATTTTCCAAACGCTGACAATCTGTTCCTAGGTTAAAGCATAGCTTCAAGACATTTCCTAGTCTGCTCTCTGAACAAACAAGATTCCTTCTTTTTTGACAAGAAACATGTTTATGGTTGGTGTTGTGACTGGTTTGAACACTTGTGTAAATGTGCCAACTGAAACTTTGTCTAGGTTCTCCTTTTTTTGACTCTAGTGACATCCCTCAGCTTTCTTTGGAGGTCTACCCCTTTTTTTTTAAAGAGATTAGACTTCTGAAGTAATTTCCTGTGGAGCGCACAATAAATGTATTTTCAGGTCAAGGTGCATTTGGTCTGCCAGCCCCACTAGTTCAATAAACAATAAACAAACAAGATTTTTTCTTGTGTCATCTTCTAATCTTTTGATTTGTTACACTGAACGACTAGTACTCACCTCTGTAATAGTAACAGCATGCCTATACATTTATATGCTTTCTGGAATTTCTTTTTGGATTGATGTCAGAGATGTTATTGTATTTCCTTGCCAATTGTGAAGTATTTGCCTCTTAGAGCTTTCTTCACTCATGGAAACAAAGAAATTGCAATGGGCTGATTAGTAAATATGGGGATATGGCAAGATTTCAGTTCCAATTATAATGTGAGAATCAGAATAGAAATTATACAATTAATATATTTAAATATGAAGTTTAATACATCAAGCTAGAAACTGACCCTAATCTAAATCGGAGACCTTTCCTTAAGGGACTCCAACCTTTTTTTTTTTTTTATTTTTTTTTTTGATGATGAAAAGAATGAGGGAATATTACTTTCTTATGTAGTAAAATTACTTCTCCCTCCAAGTTGTTATTTAATTTCCCTGAGAAAATAAATGTATCTTCTACATGTTGTTTACACTAATGGAAACCACATTTGTCACTTTTGCAAAAAAAAAAAAAAAAAAGGTAAATTGAACTTCCCTTTCTCACATTCTTATCGCCAATCTTGACAACCATCTGGATATCTACCCCTCTCTACATCATTAGCAGACACGAATCCAGGATTTCTATTTAGAAAGTTCAATAAAAAGGACAATTTCCCCCAATTCAGAGAGTTCTCCAATCATTCCAAATTGTGCTCCAAACCCAAGAGTCTCTCCTTCAAAAATTTTTGACTTGTACACTTTGAAGACAGAAGTGAGTTCCCATTCTCTCATCCTCCCCTTTCCAAACATTGTTTCCATCTAGAGAACTCCAATGAGGTAGTAAGTTTTACTTAATGTAAGCTGTCTCTCTCACATGAATAGATAGGGATTTAGATTTTTCATCATGTAATGATTTTTATTTACTTTATATTTTGTTCCTAAAAAATTGTTTTGTTTTGTTGATTTGAATAATGGGCTCAACTCTATACCAATGTCTTATCACAGATATACAATTCTCTCCTACTCAAAAAAGTATATAAATTTAATCATTAGCATGTCTAATGCTCTAATTAGGTGTCAGGAAAAACTGACAGGTAGATCAAACGAACTACCTGTCACCCAAATCAAATACTACAAAAACCATCCTAGTGACCCTGTGGGCAAATCTTCCTGATCCAAGGCCAGTAAGGAGTGAGAAACGAAGCTTTCGTCACCCCGACTTCCCACATTTGTTTCTTGCCCACCGGATTCCCATAATAATACTGGTTGAACAATATTGACAAAATGTGATGTAATGTTGTTGTACTTCATAATTAACTTCTGAATATTTGATTTTTGTGAACAGCATATTGAATATTTTTTTGAGTCTTTGAATAATTTTATTCAGAGTTGTTTCATGAGGAATACCAAATGATTACTTTAAAACAATCATCAATCGTAAACCATTAAAAAAAAAACCTGTAAACAAAATTGATCTACAGGAACTAATTGACACTTGAGGCTGGCCCCAAGACATCACAGAGGACATATTCAGCATATTTTTCTCCAAAAATTTATGCAAGAAAAAAATATTGAAATGATTTTGTGAATTTAATGGTCAACATTCATACTTTTCTAATTTTATTAATGTCTCTCTTACAGGAAAAGAATATGTTTTAAAATGTTTGTTGGAAATACATTCCCTTCTACAGAAATACGAGTCAAGATATATCATCAATGATCTTTATATTATGGACTACTGCATATGGATACAGACTGTTAGGTAATAGAATCAACATCTTTATCAATTTTTTTTTTTACTGATATATACTATAGAAATTTAATTTATTTATAGCACAGAAACTTTGATGTCATTATCAAATGCCCTTTCTCGGGTAAGTCATTTCTAATAAAAACCGTTATTATTTTTTAAAACTTATTTATTATTATTNTATTTTCATTTATTATATTCCATTTGAAGATTTTACCAGTAAATTGTTGTTAATTATTATGCATCTTATTTATCAAGTTATCAAGATATATAGTTTTTTAATAATTATCTACTATCACAGATAGTAAAAAATGGTTGAAAGAAATTTGAAGCACCTGATCTATATAGAATTGTAAATAAAAGAACACAAATTTACAAAAAAAAACAATGTAAAAAGTTTAAACAATGCAATTTTATCTGATAATTTCCATATTTAAATTATACAGTTTGCTTACAAACCAATAAATAATTAGAACTGTAGAAAATAAATATGTATTTAAAACTTAAAAAAAAATTTTAAATACATATTTATTTTCTATGGTTCTAATATTAAGTTATGGTTTGTCTTAATATATGAATATTATTGGAAAATTGTTTTCTATAGTTTTAATTTATTATATCTATTGAAGATTTTAAAAGCAAATGTGTATTTTTTTTTTTTTTTTAATTTTAGTAGATAAACTACATATTTCAATAATTTTGTTATTTAATTTTTAGAAGCAGAAAAAGAAAAAATGCTGAAATTACCAAATAAAGAATATATCCTTTATTATATATATTTTAAAATTTATCATATAAGTATTTTATATTTAAGCCTTAACAATTGTGTACATTTATTAGATGAAGAAACAAGACATGCTCTTTATCTTGGTTTAGTAGATATTTTGTTAGCATTTGCATATAACGGAAGAACTACAGCGGGAGAAAATACTGTGAGTCATTGATAATTCATGATTTTTAATTGTAGAAAAAATTTATTATAAATTGAATGATTAATTTAATTAGTAAAGATAAACATTAAATCTATTGAATTTGCTATTTGTATTTCAAATAAAAATTTATTTTACAGGTGGAATCAGCATGGACAATCTGCAAATTGAGTGGGACATTATCATGGCTTGTAGTAAGTGTTTTCTAATTATTGAAATTCTAGCAGACTATTACTTGTATGCCTGTTTGAAAATGCATATTTGGGTTTATTAAATACAATAAATTTTGCAATAAAATATAATATGAATCTAATTTATGAATACTTGACATACAAGAATTCAATTCAAGGAGTACCAGTTGATATTTATGAGGAAAATATTCTAATCACAAGTGCAACAAGATTGAAATTCCTGCACATACTGATTAGATGGCTTGTGTGTTCTAGTCTTGTTTCTCCTTCATTCACTTATTAGTGCTATTTGTTCTAATATGGCTTCTATCTTATAAATTCTCCTATTAGTGATTTACAATTTTATTTTATGTTGTTTTACTAGTTTACTGCATACATATTATCTTAAGTAACTATTGTTTTCTTACCATTAGATAAAGAAGTGTCCAGTAAATTATGTACAGTACATTAAGTTCACACTTAATATTGTTAATAGGTTCTTGTTAATTGTAACATAAAGCAAAATGATATACTGTACACTGTCTGTCCAGAAAGTTCCAGTACTATTGTTCTAAAAAATTCAAAAGCAAATGGAAAGATTTTTAATCTTTACAATGTTTCACATAGTCATCTCCCCATCTCAATTCATGATTGACAACAATCATACAAGCACTGAAAGCTGCTTGAAAATTTACTTTTGTAATCCTCTTTAATTCTCATTTCACGTTGTCTAGAATGTCTTCTAAATCATTTGTATTGTTTACCCTTCAACTGCATCTTGAGCTATAGAAAGAGGAAAAAGTCACAGAGTACATGGTCTGGCAAATACAGTGTGTTAACAAGCACAGGGACTTGTTTTTGAGCTATTTTTGCTGTACAGTTCTAGGTGAATGGATTGTGCATTGTTGTGAAGCAGAAAAAAATAATTCTGTTTTTTGTCTTTCTGGGCAAACATACCAAATCCTTTTACAAAGACACTCCAACATGCTCAGGTCACAGAGGTCACAGTGATGCCTGCTAGGAAGAATTCTTTATGGACAAGACCATCAATTTGATGAGCATAATCTTGCATTATCTTCAAGTGATTGCCTCCCTTCTTGAAATTGTTTTTACCATTTAGACATCTTTGAACAAGATAAACAATTGTCTTCATACACAGTTTTCAAGGCATTGTAAATTTCTGTAGCTGTTTTATCAAATTTATGATTAAATTTTATTACTTTTCTTTGCTGCTCCATTGCTCCATCACAAATTTTTCAACAAACAAAAAAATTTTACCTTTAAAAGTACATTACAGAAAAAAGACTGACAATAGCATTCTGAATAAATCATGTGTAAACATGAAAGTTTTAATTAAAAGATTACATAGTAATCAGGTACATGGCACCACTTGTCTCTCTGATAAAAAATAATCAGTCCCGGAACTTTCCAGACAGTGTATAATGAAACCAATTTTCCCATAGGCTGAATTGTATATAAACAGGCTACAATTTCGTTAACATTCTTATTATGTCATGCTTTAAGGCTCTAGCATTTCCTATCTCATAGAATCAATTTTACTGTTTATAAAGAAAACCCATCAATGATAATTGTAAATTAATACAAATCTACTTGTTATAATGTCATTGAGGAAAGATCCAAAACAATGTTAAATAAATAACATATGTGAATTTGTTGTATTTATTTATTAGGTCTTAATCATTTTTTTTTTTTTGTGGCTGTATGGCAGAAGAAGTTAAGATGTTAGCCTACCTCTTTGGGGGACCCAGGTGGTAGGCTTGAATATGGACAATAAAAAAACCCTAGGAATATTTCTTGGGCAGTCTGTCCTCATGAAATATTTTAGGGTTTTTTGACTGCCCTCATTCTTTTTATTTATGACTGGATCCCATCTCTCACTATCTGGCTGCTCCCATTGTGAACTTGGCCAGAAAGGGCAGTATCCACAGGACAGAAAGAGTTAAAAAATAGAAACAAATCACTTTTCTCATTTCACAATCCCTTTTATGTATAAACAGAGTATTCAAAAATATGTTCAAAACTTTAAAGGATGGAAGATATGGTTGAATTGGAACAACAAAGATGGTATGAGACTCCCATTGAAACCTCTGAGGACCTTGTTGCCAGAATTAGTATTACTGCTGCAGCTGTGTGCGAGATGCCCAGTATCCTCCAAAATGTATGTGATTCATTGTCAACACTGAAGCATTCATTATGGTTGGTGGTTGCTCCTTTCAGCAATTTTTGTAATTATCCATTATTAAAGATTTTTTTCCATGTTCTGTGTCATGAGTCATTACTTTGTTTATGCCCTAGCACTTTACATTTGACCATACATTCTATAATGGGAAATGTTTGTTTTTGTGTTCTTCCACCCCATAAAGTTTTGCCCATCTTTTTTGAAACATCTTGTATATATGTATGTATATATTTTTAACCACTCTTTCCACATTCTGGACACCAAGCGGATCTTTTATTAGGCTCATTATGGGTTTGGCCAGACCCACAATGATGTCTGGGTGGTGAGGGACTTGACTGGCCTGACATATTTGGGATATACCACCCCTGTAAAATTTCTAAGGTTTTATTGACCCAACCAGATTTATTTCTGGATCCTTCAAAGCAATAGGCTGACAATTTAACCACTCAACCATCTGACAATCTGACTATATTGTAAATAATCAACATTATTTACAATATAATGTTGATTATATTGTAAATAATGTAATCAACATTTTCATTTATTTTATTTCATTTGAAATCATTGGCTGATGATAGGTGAACAGGCATTTTATAGAACTTCACTGATATTTGGGATGTATAGATAATTCAGAACATATACAAATTTTAATCATAAGAAATAATAGAAAAGCTAATCCCAATTTACAAGATTTTGATTCACTAAAAGTTTTCAGGATCCGTTATGAGCATATCTTGATTCTAATAATAACTTTTGAAATTCTGTACAAAGATCAAGAATTATGAAAGTTTGAATTTTGTCATCCAGTGTAATGCATCTAGTCAAAATGAAAAGTTTTGGAAAATGGTAGCCTGATTTTATTAATTGGGCTGCAATTTGAAAAAATTGTAGGCCTATAAATTCTCACGCTAATCCGCCTGTCTGTCTGTCTTTTCTTAATCTCTAGAATAGAGTTAGATAGACGAAAGACGAGAAAAGTTATGAAAACCTTGAGGGCAGTAGGCCCCGATTAACTATATACGAACTTCTAATGTAGACCAGAAGTCATGTTATTTCAATTCAAAATTTTCCCCTAAAAGTAGTTAATAGATGACCGGCATGACTCTATTGTTAAAGAAAAAGTGTGATGTACAGGGGCAAGACACTACTAATTTGAGGTGGAGAACATATATTTTAAACTAAATAAATTAAAAACGATTAAAAATTGCAGCTTGACATTGTGACGATGCACAATAAATAATTGTTTGTTGAATATGAATATAAATTATGGAAAACATTAGATATAAGTTATTGTTTCGACATAAGATAATTTCATTTTTGTAAACTCTAAAATAGAATATACTTTAAGTACTGTAATGCAAAATATAAAAAAATAATATTTGCTGATTATCAAAATCTTGAATAATAATTATTTAATTAATAATAATGCCAAAGTTATNCAGCGTGGTGTTTTCTCCTGCAAAAGGATTTTACTGATTTTTTTTAGAAACAGCCAAAAACACGGGGATGCTTAGAATACTCATTTTTAAACTCTGTAGAAGGAAATGCAATTCGGAAGAGGTAGATTTTGGCAAATAATGAAAATATGTCATGAGTACATAACTTTTACTCAACATTGGCTTCTGAATTTGTAATGAGAGAGATTTTTTATGTGCATAAAGGATTTTTTTACATACGTAAAATAAATTTTTGTTTCCTATAACCTAACACACTGAGCAACAGTTGCGATTTTGAGTCCCGCTCAGGGCCGAGTATTTTCTTCCAGAGGTTAATCTTTACCTATGTGCACCGTCATGGTGGCTCGTTCCTTTCTTCTGTTTGTTGGAATCAAGGAACAGTGGGGACGCACGTTCTAACCTAACCTATTCTAATAAATTACCAAATTATTGGAGTTATTGGTTATAGAAATGGCAAATTCCATCTAGACAAAGGAAAATAGCGTATACAGTTCAACAAATGGATACTACGTACATCGCAAGGATTCAACTAAATAAAGAGGAAAAACGCCAAGTGTTTAATTAATAACACAGTCTTGTGTTCAATAGTCAAGAAATAAGATGATGTTAAAGCAATAAACACATATGTCGTCCCAGTACTCAGTTATTCTTTTGGAGTTATACATTGGACTCACATAGATCTTAAGCAACTCCAAATGAAAACAAGAACAACACTTACTAAGCATAAACAACATCATCCTAAATCTGCCATAGAAAGATTAACCCTTCCACGTAAAGGTGGCGGATGTGGCCTGATCGACATAGTTAACCTCCACAACAAACAAATACAGACATTGCGAGAGTTTTTCTACAAAAAACAAGAAATGTCACAGTTACATAAAGCAGTAACTCTAGCAGACTCAAGTAATACACCATTAAATTTACATTCACAACGTATGGACACGACACAACATCCAAAATCACAGATAAAACAATTTACCACAATAGACCAGACATCCCACTCATTGACAAACACAATAAAATCACATACGTTATAGACATAGCCATTCAAAACACTCACAATGAACAAAACACATGCACTGAAAAAATTAGCAAGTAAACAGAACTTGCCCAGGAAATAAGGAATCTGTGGAGGATGGATAGGGTTCTTATTATACCTGTTGTCCTCTCCTCTACAGGTGTCATACCCCACACACTACACAAAAGCCTGGGAACATTAAAATTGAATAGAAACACACACATCACACTACAGAAGGCCACTATATTGAATACATGTCATATTGTTAGGAAATTCCTGAATACAGACATACACTGACACACTCATTTAATTTTTGTCTTGTTTTGAAGTTACTATGGCTTGACTCTGGTCCGGCATAGTACACAGCCATCCGAGTGTAACTCACAAAACGCAACATAATAGTAATAATAGGCTTATGGCATTACGAAATTCTATTAATAGTATCATATCATATGTTTTTGAGGGGAATAACATTTTGGTATGCCGTGTTGAGTCATAGGTGTGCCGCCAGTAGAAAAAGGTTGAGGAACAATGCCCTAGGCTACAGCCACTCACTGAAAAACATTTGAGACTCAGGTATAATGAATACAGAAAACAACCCATTTTTCTCACAACTGCTTGAGAGTTGCATTGAGTGGTTTTACTATTGATTTATAGTAGGATAGCATTACAATATACATCAAACTTGCTGAAATCCAAGGAACCAATCCAGAGCATCCCCATTAACAGAATTCAGAGAAGTAAATCTGATTACACAATTTTCGTATTATATGCAGCAGTTCTTATTTGTTGTTTTGTTTACTTGCTGTTGTTGGATAAAGAAAATTATAGGTATCAATATTGTGGGGGCTTAATCCTGTCTAATGAACACATTCATTAACACTTTATGTTCTATGGGAACTTAGTTCAGAATATAGTACAAATAATAGTGAGAAGACAAGATAAATATTTCTATGCTATACACATCATAAAACAATAAGAAAAATGTTTTTTTTTTTTTTTTTTTTGAGATTAATAGTGTTGTCTTTATTACATGCCCATCTTACTTTTTATTTCTTTGTTTTTTTTTNTAACAAGAGAAAACAGAAAAAACACCCGAAGTCAGTCGTCTTCCAACGTCTGTCCACCAAAGTCGTCCTCCCGGATTAATACCGTGACCAAGACTCCAGGATTAATTCCGTGCCTCTTTAAGGATATCATCCTGACTTTCAGCCTCCTGTTAACTGATAAGACCCAGAATCATTCTATCGAACATTCCATCGGCATCAACAGTGTCATCTGACCACAGATCTTCGACCCAAAAGAAAGGTATTTATCAACCCGTGATTCGTTTGTAAACTCTCTCTCTCGAACGGCCTAGTATAATTAGGGGCTATGACAGAAATCGAATATATCTGTATTTTCTTTAGTACTTATTAAAATTGTTATTTATTTGTTACTATGGAATCCGAGTGAGTCACTTCCTCGTCTCTCTCCTCACCTCTACTCCAAGCCCAACCGCTCACCCGCTAACGCGACGTTGTGTCACGATTTCCGAGTCCTGTGAGACTCGGTGGTGTCAGAGTCAGGTCTCCTGACGTGGTGTCAAAGAGACACCGACCCTACAGTCACACCTAAACACCAAATGTTGTAAAGGTTATTGTGTATGGATTACCATTTGTGAATTTATACAACACATAACTAGTGTTTAATAGAATATTTTTCAAGTGATATAGAAGAAAAACTTGTGTGTATATTTTTTGTAAAAAACTTTTTAAAACTTATTTATTACTATTTAATGTATTTTTTTAGGTCAGAATAAATAAGGAACATGTAAAATTAGATTTGATTGAATTAGAAGCAGCTTCAGTATTGGCTATAAAAGAAAATGAAAGTAAAAATGATAATTTGACTTCCACTACAAATTGCACAAATACCAGAGAGTCAGAAGTGCCAAATAAAGATATTGAGGAAATATGTGATAAAATTGAGGAAGTCAGTTTACAATCAAATACAAATTTTAAATTGTCTTCTCAATGCAACTATTCGAATTCTAATGATTCGGATTCAGAAAGTGAACTGGACTCTGATAGTGAAAGTTCCAGTTCCATAGCTACATCAATGACAGATAGTGATGATTACTGCTCTTCAGATTCAGATTCAGAAGACAGTTCTGATGATAATTTAGATGAAAGATGTTCTCTTTTAACTAAGCTGAGAAGTTAGATAAAACTATTTTTACAATTATATTTTTTTATAATCTTAAAAAAGTTTTTTAAGTGTAATATATTTATTGAATCAGAAAATGTGAATATATATTTTATATGAAGTAATTTTGTAAAATATTCATACTGTAATTGAATCAAATGAAAAATATTTTATTTTTATTAGTATATAATGAGGACACAAAGGCATATGAATTAATACCAAAAAATATTTTCATTTGTAGATATACACATTTGAATAAACATACCATTTATTAAATCAAAATTTCAAAATGGATGAAATTATTGATTAGAAAATAACTTTATAATCTTACTGAACATTGTCAAGAATTTACTAATGGAAAGTATTAATCAGTTTGCATGGAAGCAAAATCAAATTTTATTAATGATTAAAAAAACTTTTATGTAATCAAGTTAACCATTATCACAAGTGAAATATAATTTTGCTTTCTGCAATTTCTTCCTTTAATGATTAACTTACACCAATGTATCTTTGAAAATTATATTTTTCTTCACATTTGATTGTGATAAGAGTGCTTTCTAGACCTTTGGCAGTCCCCAATTAATAATAATTTCAGCCACCCTTTATACATAAATTAATAAGACATTTTTATAAGAACAATTTGTTGCAACAAAATTTTGACTTTAATTATATTTGTTGTACAACTTCACTAAACAATAATAATTACCATCTACATTCTATTAGTAAAGTTGCAAGAACTGAAATCTTACATATGAATACAGTAAAGTATGTCATAAATTTTAGTTTGAGGTAAGTCTCTGCAGATATGGAAGCTAGTAAGGTGACAAATCTGTTGGGGTAAACCTCAGAAAATTCATTTATATGAAATGGCCAACTTTTAGGATAGCTTGTCATCAAATTTATGGTGATTTATGTCTCGTGTCTCTTCTATTTGAAATATTTTAACATTTTCTTCAGATCTTTTAAATTACTAATGAAATAAAAATTCCATTAGCTAAAACCTGATATTCAGTTGATCCACATAACAGCAATTTCTTTTAAGTAATCTTTAGTTTTTGTCAATGCACTGTTACGGGATTTATATTAAAATCCTTTATCTCAACTTTCTAATTATCAAAGCTTCTCAATGATCTTAGCTCAGCATCAAATACATCACTTAAAAACTCACTAAACTAAATTAGTAGTATGGTCCATCACAATTTTAAATCAAGCCTCTGATAAGTACTCCTGAAATAGGACTCAGTATCTAAAGACCAGCACAAACTAATAATGATTTTTTATGGTTGCAATTGCTTTTAAAATATTGGCAATGATTGTCACAGATTTGCTCATTTACTGGAATGTGAAACTGGAGTATTACAAATAGCCAATGAGCATTTTGTACATCCATTGTCCTGTAATTTTCATGTATTTGTTGACAAAATGGCTTCAGTCAGTACTATCAATCTTTTGCTTTTAGCTTGGACTGCCACTATAGTCTTATTGTCAGCAGTTTAATTACTAAGACAAAATGATGACCTGAGATTGGATCCATCAATAAGGAATTTTGAAGTAGTTGAACTTTGCCTGGAAGATACTGCCTCTCATTGATAAGTGTTTTTGTTACAAGACTACTGTCTTCAATTTGAAAAGCTTTGAAGTGTAAATGTAATTTAAAAATTTCATTATGCATGATAAAGTAGATCTATTCTCACTGCACATCTCAGCACACTTTACTGAACAGGCATTGCTAGTCACTGAAAATATCAAAGTTGAATATGTACATCAAGTTGAAAGGATTGATCTCGAGTCCACCACTGGGCAATTATAATTGCCAGCATAATCCTTCAATGTCAAATGAGACCAGTTTGGGGCCATAAGAAAAAATTTCTTTGGTTATCCCTAAGTTCAGCCATCCATAGCAGGTGCTCTATTTACATCATTTCAATTGCACTCAGGGCCTGCTTCACAGGCTCTGAGTGCAATTGAATTATAATCTTCAAACAAAACCACAACACTACAAAGGAAAGCATGTAACTATATGCAAATGCAAGTTTGCATATGCATCAGGACATATGATGCCCAATTTCAGGCTATAAAGACTAGCAGCTGGCTTGGGCCATAAATGCTATCAGTGATGGTTTGTGACAGCTGAACTTTTGAAAGCATGTACAAAATGCCTCAGACAACAGCAAGCTGAATACCATCGGTTAACAGATGAGGAATGAGACTACATCCTGGAGCTACATGACCTCGGTTTGTCAATATGTGCAGTTGCCATGCATGTTGGCCACAATGTACCATCCGACAATGTATGACATGATGGATGCAGGAACATTTGCAAATATGCCAAAGAGCAAGTGGATTGCACCAGAGCATGACAGAGTGCAGAGATTGGCAGCTTTGCTGTATGGCCTGTTGGGACTCATTTGCCATGGCATATGACATCCAAAGCTGCTCATTGCTGTTAACAGGCACATCTGTCCACCTAAACCATTCACAACAGGCTGCAATGCATGGCAACCAGGACACCATTAACCGCTTGACACAGCTGCACACCTGGCATGGCGTTGTCATCAAAACTGGACATTGGGTATTGTTCATGGATGAATCCTGCTTCTGTCTGTGGAGGAATGATTGCTATGGTAATATTCTGGGGAACGCTGCGCCAGCCCTCTTTGCCGAGCTTCATGGTTTGGGGAAGCATGATGATCAATCAATACTGTACATATTTCTGTTACTCTGACAGATCAGTAATTGCAGTGCCTGTAGTCTAGCTACCAGTGATAGTTGATGAGAGTTTACCATGCAACTGCACATTGCATGGTAAACTCTCACCAACCTAGAATTCACATCCTTTCCTGGCCAACAGCCCCACTGGATCTCTCCCCCATGAAACATCTATAGGTCCTCATCTGATGTGAAGTTCATCATAGTCCACCATCACATACTATACACATGTGCACCACAATGGATGCAGCTTGGCAAGGGATACTTCAGGCAACCATTGCCTCATTGATAGTGTGCCTTGCCATATAGCTGTATATGATAGTATCCTTGCCATATAGACCATACATATGTAACACCTGTTCATTCAGTACAGAATATCTCTTAATCATTTGCATATCTCTGTCACCTCTACTAGTCTTGTCATGTGCATCCTTTTCTGGTGTTGTGATTTCAGTTTACAGGAGTGTATTTGATATTTTTATAATCATAGAGAAATTAAAAGCTTTTCTCATTTTTTACTGGATTTTGCAGTTTACAATAGTTTAGTCATTATGAACACTTCCATTACATATTTTGAAATAATAATTCTCAAATATAATTCATTTTTACACTAAGGCAGTGTTTTTCAACCTTCTTGAATAAGCAACCCCTTTACAAGTTAAAATATTCTGGCAACCTCCCGCAGGGCCATATTAAAACTATGTCAGTGATTTTAAAAACTACGTATTTAAGTTTCTTTCTGTTGAGACCTAAATATCAATCTAAACACCAATTGTACTGTAAAATAAACAGGCACAGCCTTCTCACTTGAGATTGTAGTTTTTTTTATTGTAGTGTAGGACCTGCAAACACTTGTCTTTTTCTTTTACCCACGATCCCCGTGTAAAGCTTTGCAACCCTCCTGGGGATTGCAACCCACAGGTTGAAAAACACTGCACTAAGGTGTCACGCAATTATTTATTGAAATTTCATTCTTTAATTCTGGTATTTTTGTTAGAATTATTCTATGAATGATCCTTATATTTAAAAAAAACAGACCTTTTCCTAGTAAAACAAATTATCACTTAAATGAGAGTACTTCATATTAAAATACAGTATAAATTTAAAGAATAAAACATCTTTTTGTTCTTTGCATAAAGTCGTATATAAAGATGACATATAATAATCTATTTATGTCGTCTTAAGAAGATTTTTCATTTCTTCAAGCTGTTATCTTTTTGGTTTGTGAAAAAAGGAGATGGGGAAAAAAAAACTATTTTTATGTAACTCTCTATAGCTTCAAATCTTTTTGTTCTATTCAATATCAATTGACAAAACCTATATAATAAAAGTATTTTAAGCTTTTTTTCATAATTTACAATAGATTAACATCTAAAGAGTTATTCAGTTTGAAAATATATATTTTCTTGAAAGACAACTATATAATTCATAATTTTATTTGTGTAAAAACAAGTTTTACAAATCATGGTTTAACATTATCTTTTTGTTTCTGCATCTTTCTGGCCTTTTTGTTATGCTTCCTTGCAAATCGAAGATTTCTCAAGAATTTAGGATCAACCTGGAAAATAAAAGAAAAATGCATCGTTTAAAAGGTTATTTAATCAAAATATCAACTTTAAAAAAATAATAATTCATCAGTTTGTTAAATTATTATTATTCAACAAATTACAGATATACAAAATTAACAAACTTTTTTCTAAAAAAGACTGTCAGGTACTTGCATCTTAATGCAATTATTATTACAATGTATATGAGCAATTATTTACTGTGACAATGTCACAATGCTCGGCTGCAATTTTTAATCATATTTTTAAAAAAATACATTTAATTTAAAATATGTCGTCTCCACCTCAAATTAGTAGTGGCTTTCCCCTATACATCATACTTTAACAAGTCAGGCTGGTTATCTATCCAACACCTTACAGGGGACAATTTTTGAATTGAAATAAAGTGACTTCCAGTTTGCATTGGAAGTTGTTACATAGTTAATCAGAGCCTCCTGCTCCTAAGGTTTCCATATCTGATCCCATCCTACATCTATCTAACTCTGTTCTTGAGATTAAGGAAAGATGGACAGAGGACAGTGGAAATTTACAGGTCTGCAATTTTTTCAAATTGCAGCCCAATAATACTTTGTTTAGAGAAATTGACAAATATTGAACATCCCATAAAAAGTTTTAGAAAAAACTTTAAATTGATATAACAGCTACTTTACAGTTATGTAAATCTGCTCTGTCATCAAATGTTTATCACCACTAATGGGTAAAACTACTGCAATATGTAAGAACATCACATTTTCCTCTTGTAAATATGTACTATATAGATAAATAACTGTGAAAACTTTAGTTATAAAAGGGGATAGACTTAGTATAACTGGCAAAAAATTCTTACAAGGAGAGGCTCAG